TGAGCCATGGCCCTGGAACAGGAGAGGGAGCACTCAGCCTGGAAGGAGGAGTGAGTCACTTCCTCTGCGCACGGCACCCTGGCGATTAGGGCCTGCGCGGAGCACCGCTCTCCCGACCCGCCGCTCAGCCCTGCCATATCCTCATTAGTCGGGTAATGGGCTTCGCCCGAGTTATGGGGAAAAGCAGCTTTGCGCATTAAGGACGAGCCCGGTCCAAGCTGGGCCGCCGAAACCGGTGCTATTTTGAGGACGGGTGGTGAGCATGCTGCTGAATCATAAACTGGGGAACCTGCCAGTTTCCCGCTTCAGCTAAATGGCTCCCGACAACCCAAACACCTGCAATTACAGCCATGCTGTTCTACTCTGCTCTGCTCTGCCGAGAAGGCGAGCAGGTGTTTTAATTAAAGTCAGGCGCCGTCTCCATGAGGGAGCACAGCACAGCTGGACCTTAGAGAAATGCTCCCAGGACTCAGGATCTCAGATAAGAGGCGCTGGGTTCAGTTTAATAAACAGACAACGCTCATTCCACAAACAGACGCAGGCGAAACACGGAGCGGCTGTTACGGTGTGCACCATACAGAAGAAACAACAAAAGAACCTTTTGTTATGCCCAGAATTTCCCTGAAAGGAAAGGAAGACGTTTCGTTAGACTTTTACAGTGGCGACACATTGTATACCAAATGCAGTAACATCATTCCCTTCATATGCCAACCAAAACACAGATGTACATGTCGGTCGCCTTTCTGTGATGTTTTACCTTGCCCGTGTACTATAATCCCTATTGAGGGCTCCCTTTAGAATATTACTCTACAACAATAACAAGAATTTATTCAAATTAAGACCACGTATAGGTACCTTTTAATTTATTATGAACAAAATAGGGGCGGTGTGGTGCTGCAGTGATCAGCACTGTGCCTCATACCTCTGGGACCAGCGTTCAAGTCTCCGCCGTGGCTCCATGTGTGTGGAGTTTGCATGTTCTCCCCGTGTCATTGTGGGCTTTCCTCTGGGTACTCTGCTACCCCCCCACAGTCCAAAAACATGCTGAGGTGAATTGGAGTTAAACTGCACATCGCTTTGAGTAGAGTGTGAGTGTACAGAAAACAGATGGATGAACAGAATGCAAAACAGACATTACATTTAACCAATATAACTGAGATTTCTATTCACTGCAACTGAAAGCACAAGGAAGAGTTACAACTTTTTTTAAAAGGTGTACTCTATGAGATTTTAATCCATGACCATGGATAAGGAACCTGATCCTTGGAGAGCCGGTGGAGGGTTTTAGGATGACCTCACAATCAGCCAATAATAAAGCAGTTGTTCTCAACTCCAGTCCTGGGGACCCACTGTCATTGGCATTTAAGAGGTCATCCCAAAAACCCGCACCGGCTCTGCATGGATCAGGTTCCCTACTACTGGGCTAGAAGGTGAGCCCTATATCTGGGACAGGAGAAGCAGCTCCTGCTATGACAACAGTTTTGTGGTATAGCTATTTGCTTATGCAGAGAGAGAAAGAAATTCTCAGAGAAAGGTATGGGACCATAAAGCTCACAGGGCCGAGCAGCTAGGCCACGGCCTGTTTGCTTTTCTAAGAACCACCAGACACATGGTGTTATCTGTAAACTATGGGCTGATCCAGTGCACGCCGACAAACAGAAACATATCTGGAGATACTCTTATTGTTGACAGATCACATGGCTAAATACTGAAGCTCGTCCGGTCGCACAGTTACATTGCTAATATTTACCATACATCATAATGGCCCAAGACAGGTGGAGCTGCCAGTTTTCGGTCAGAATAGTTAAGTCTCTGAGCTCCCCTCCACCCCACTGTGTCAGCGTACGAATCTTGGACACATCTGAGGGGCCACGCCCACGGTCAAACGGAAGATAAGTAACGATCAAGAGCGTTGGGAACGCGCGGCTTGTCTGGGCCGTGCACACATGACACCTCCTTTTTCTACGGAATGATATCAATCCCTTTGAGGATCATCCCAAGCCAATCATACACACGAAACCACAGAAAGACAAGTATCGACAAGTATCCATCCATCAATGAAACAAAAACAATGGCGGCTTTCTGACAAGAAAACCCTCCTAGGTATCTTCCCTTATGGGAAACATCAAAACTCAGTGTCTGAGTTGAAGGTTGCCTGGTTCGCTGTAAGGTCCAGATGAGTGTTTTTATTTGGAACATGCCACTGCGCAAGATTCCGTTAGCATGTTCCGGGTGTTCTGTACACACGTGTATCACGTATGACCAGGACCCAGGGACACAAAGAGAAGCTTGATTCTGTGAAGCTGTAATGAACACGGTCAGACAATAAAAGCCCCTTTACTGATCTGTGGCGATCATTTTGTTTTGAAGTTTGAAGGATTAGCGCTTATAAAGTATCATCCTGTTTAAATGATTATTTAGCAGATACCGAGTTGCTCGTGATGAGAGTGAAGGCTGCTGAGCTTGAGCCAGCCTGTTTGTGCTTGTTTTAGTACATTGCTCCAGTTAGGCACAACAATGAGATAAATGTTTATCAGAGGCTTTTATCCAAAGCAACTTATACCAGAAGGAAGGGTTGCAACATACACTAGTGGCCAAAATTGTGGAAACACTTCCAATTTGTAGAGATTGTAGAACTTAATTCCAGTTACTGATTTAATCATCTAATATATGATATTTGTAACTTTCTTCGATTGTTTATAAAAATTACCACCAATATTCATGTAGTAATGCTAAAAATGCTCATTGTTTCCACTATTTTTTCCCTGGGATATGAAAGCATGACTTTTGCATTTGCTACTTGTTGAGTTACAGGGGGTGTCACCGTGTCACTTATAGAAAGCCCTGGACCCAGTACCTGCTTAACAGGAGGAATTTATGGATGGTCACGTAAGTGCCGCTTCAGGAGAAGGAATGAAAACCCACTGAGCGACGGCTGGTGGACGGTCAGGCCCACAGAACCTCTGTGTTTATTCAAAGGCTAGTTGTGGCAACAGCCCAAAAGCAACCTGGCAGGGCTGGAGAGTGACAGGCTATGTGACCTCTGTGATTGGCACGTGGCTTCAGAGAGCTCTGAACTGCCATCTGAGGACGGGGGGCAGGAGGGTTCAACGGGGTTAGGCACAAACTATTTATCTCAATACATACGCTAATTATTAATGACTATATTATTCTTATTAATATAGTTATTAATAATTAGCGTATGTATTGAGATAAATAGTTTGTGCCTTAAATAGATAAATAGTGTGAACACGTGCAGTAAAGTAATCGTTTTAGGTTTACATATTTCATTGACAAATGAGGTGTAAAGTGAAACGCAGCCAGAACCGAGCAGACAAAGCCCTGCGAGACACAGAGCGGACTCTCCGAGAAGCCAGGGAACAGCAGAGCTGCCCTCATAGGGCTCAGCTACGGAAACACGCGGAACGCACTCGCGCGAGGGCGGCCAGCATGAGGCACGTTAGCGCTCCAGTGAAGAGCGCGGTATGAGGGAGATGGGGGGAGATATTAAACAGCAAGTGATCATGTGATCACACCTCAAAAGAAACTATAGATTGTTATAAGTAAATAGCTGTATATATTCATGTGACATTCCACATCCTTAATGTAAATAGCTGCAAATTACGATTTAAGATAAATACAAGTTAATACTGTCATTATGACATTTTATATTGCTATTCATTTTATGGCAACCAAAGGTACTTTATGCAAAAGTTATTTACGCAAGTTAAAATGCAATGGTAAAAATATAATTCCGACATTTCTTATTTATAATTCTACTCAGTGATCCAGGAACGGCAAAAATTTAATTCTAATAATAAAAAACACGAACAAATAAGAGTTCTTCTGACAGAGGTGTGATTTTAGCAAAACAGCCCTATGCGCAGACTAGAATTCTGGTACTCCGGCTAACATTAGCGCTCTCAGTCACTCTACCGACTCAAGCACCTTTTAAATCCCTCTAACTCCCTTGGATCATCCGAGTGTAGACAAACTCAAATAGATGTTATTGTAGTAATAATAATAATAATAATAACGTTAATCCATGCGCACTGAATATGGCCAACATAGAAACATTTAACTCTGATGATTAATGTAACCGGTTAAATGATCGGATCGTTACACGTAACCGGTGAAGAGAAGCGCTCCGTTATATGTTACCAGTTAAATAGCCGTGTTGACCTTAAAGTACTTGGCTGTTTACTGAGACCACGTTGAGAATATAACAGTTTAATGTGCCGCGCTGATAATGTAACCGTTTAAAGTAGCGCGTTGATAATAACAGCCTTAATAATGACTTATAACAACAGTTTCAAGTTTCACGTTGATAAAATAATAATTTCGGGGCCGGTCAATCTTATAGGCGACATAGGCAGCCGCCTAGGGCGCCAACTTCAGAGGGGGCGCCGACTTGCCAGCCGATTTCACTTTGCCGACGGCAGTGCTCGCCTAGGGCGCCACATCGGCTGGCACTGGTACCGTAATAATTAGTAATGGTACAGTATCGTTACATGTACCTGCTTAAAGTACAGCTCTGATAATAACAGTTTAGTGTCACGTTCGTAGTATAATACTTCAGGTATGAAACTGATACACTGTTTTAAGTCCCGTACCGACGGGATCTGACATGCAACAGCTTGAAGATCCCCGGCCCTCCCGCGCTCGGTCCCGCCGCTCGGCCGACCGCTCCCGGGCTCCCGCCGCTCGGCCAGCCGCTATCTCCGCTCAGTGTTTTTCTGCACTTTTCTCACAGCGGCTGTCCGTGTTTCGCCCTGACAGCGCACTTTAACAACACAGCACCGTCACAGCCCGCTTGGAACGTCCCTGGAGCGCCCAGACTCGCAGTCTTGTCGCATTTCTGCCGAATTAGACCCCGAAGCGCCCCGGACAGAGCGCCGCCGAATCACCGCAGGAAAGCGGGACGCGAACGCTGGGCACGGAGAGGCCCGGGCGGCCGGTCGGCCGGCCAGCGGGAACCGCGCACTCGAGGATCCGCTCACCGTCCTGGCAGCCTCAGCCCACGTCCTGCCCTTCTTCCTCCTCCGCTTCTCCCTCATGTCTGCAGCTCGGCTGCCTCGCCGCGTTCGTGGAGACGTCGCCGCGGTTACAGTGGGAGAACCGCCGCCGCCGCTGCCATGTTGGGCTTTTACTGTAAGCAGCGGGTCATGTGACCCGAGGGGTTACGTCACCTTACTGTACTAATGACAGCTGCCCCCCACAAGGTCTGCCGCCGTGGGCGTACAAAACAATATTAGTGCATAAAGTATGCCTACTTAGGCTTTGGTCTTCAAAATAAACATGAATATCAAAATTATATTGTCGTTATTAGAAATATTTTTTTGTAAGTTTATTTGCAACTCAAATAAGGATGTTTAAATATATTTTGGAAAATAATTTAATGTAGTGAATGAAGGCTACATTAAAAATCAGTCAAATGATAATTAACAATGATCAGTAGCACAGGGAATAAAAGCACTAGTGTTTAACAGTATGGACAGTGAATGTGTCTGAGTTGTTTTTATGTCAGTTGTAGGCCTGTTTGTGCTTATACTAAAATTAAAGGTATTTAGATTTGTTGTTTTTAATTAATGCGAAATACTCTGTTATTCACTCTTATTTCTCCAGGTGGCGATGTTGTTCTTCGTAATGAGAATCACCCGAACACGCTCACACATCCCGTTGTGGACTGTTGGGTGAGCTGCGCTCCAGTTATTATTAAATAAACGCTGTATTTTCTGTAATCCCATTTCACCATATGGGCTGCGGGGTAGAGGTGAGAAAGACTCTCAGCAGTGGCGCCTACAGAACATTTTGATTGGGGTAGTAATTAGGGGGCAGTTATATTTATGGCGGTGTTCTGTCGATATATGCTGCCTTGTCGAAAAATGCTACCGTAGTGCTAATCGATAGCCCTAACCCTAACCGCCCTCCCCCCCAAAACCCCCAAAAACCCATACCTTAACCCTAACCCCTAAAACCTAACCCTAACCCCAAAACGGTTGAACTGCACATGCGCAGAAAGGCTCGACAGCACGTCTCGATAGGTAGGATTTTATGACAGAACAGCGGCCACGTCGCACCGCGTCTCTTCTACCCTTCAGATTAGACCGTAATCCATCCATTATCTGTACCTGCATGTCATATGTCATATCCCGAACATCCCAGGATGAGGCGCCAACCTTAAAATAATCAATATTTAGTTTTCATTTTTTATATGGGGTGGCAACAAGGGTGATCAAGTAGCCTATTCCAGGAGTGACCATGATTCCCAGGTTGGAGTAATTTTCACACTGCTGCATATTGGCAATTCGTTTAATAATGGCTATTTAATCGCTTAGACCAATTATAGTGGCTTTAGAAAGTATACTATTCTGAAGGAAAAATTAAGCAGATAACTTTTCTGTACTTGAGAAGTTAGAGAAGTTGCTGCTTCCTGATGCTCTCCAGAGACCCGGTTCAGACAAAAACAGACAGTGGACGTTTCTTTTAAGTGTACGTTTATTAGGCTTTCTCTTGTAGCACTTCATTTGCGTTATTCATTTCCTTCATCAGTTTACAGACAAGCAGGATTCATAGGATAGCATAAAATGGTAGCGGAAAAGAGAAATAAATAAATATACAAAATAAAGAGAAAAGAGGCGAGCCACAGAAATCCATTCTCATGTCAAACACATTGCCATAGAAACAGGAAAAACCTTTTTGGTCCTCGTGTCCTCTCCAGAATTTCCCTACAGCTGCTTTCCTGTGCATTCGGGAGTCACTCAGATCATCCGAGATTAAGGTGAGGCGTGCAACAAAGGCGTTCAAAAAGTACTACGCACAAATATGAAAATCCTAATTATTTTACAAAAAAAAAAAATATTCAAAGAACTTAAGTATTTACAATGCATCGTGTGCATTTTGCTTGCAATTCAATTAAAATGCGAGTTATTCTATTCCTTGACTGTGCAGAGCTGTAATACAGAGATGGGTCTGTCCCGTCGTCCGCACACATAATTACAACAAATGTAGGAGAGTGACATCAGAGCAGTAATAGGATTGGCTTCGTGTTCTGAGAAAGGACGGCTCCTAAGCCGAGGCGAAGTGAGCCGCAGCCCAGCTTGGTGTACTTATATACAGCAGTAAAGAAGCATCAGCGAGACACGTACCGTTGTGCTCAATGAAAAGCGGCACAACGACAAGGCCCCGAGGTGTCACTGAGGCAGCTGTTTGCATATTGGCAGCAAACACAGCATGGCAGCCAAGCCACGTCATCCGTCCACACCCGTGTCACGTACCCGTGCCCACGCGCCAGCGCGCTCACGCATCAGAAGAACCGCGGGTCCCCTCGAGGCAAGTTCTGGGCCTTTGCAAAATGCTGGTGGGGCAGGACGTGGGTCTCAGTGCCTGATTGTTATGCGACAGGTTCAGCAAAAATGCATTTAATGGGATGGAAGCAGGGACATTTTCCTGGGCTTGAACTGCCAGTGATAGCGTACGGTGTCACCTGTGCTCTTGCAGTGACACATTCATGCTACCTGGGCTCTGTCTCAGCACTGCGTTATACACGGCCATTGTTTGGCCGTAGGGAAAAAAAGAGAACACGAATTGTTATACCTGCAATAACAGTCAGTCACCAGCAGGAGGCCTGAAGGCCAAACGAGAGACCGCAAAATAGAGCAAGGACTGAAAAAATGGGAGTACCACACGCCAGGGATGTTTAGGGCATATAAGTCATTGCGGATGTTTGCTTAACCTTGTATATGTCTTTTGTAATGTTTTGTGCAAAATGGCTGGCGTCCTTGGATTTACTGTTGGTATTTCTATTCTATTACATGTGGATTAAAGCCTGGTTGTTTTAGGGGTTTATTTTGACAGACAAAAGGTTTAACTCTTTGGTGAGTGGTGGTCCTTTCCAAAAAGTACTGGTTCTTTAAAAGCAACATTTGCCAATGACCGTTTGGACAGGTGTGTTCTGCTACTCCATCTGCTGTCCCACGAGTGCAGATTAGAGATTGCTGTAGGTGGAGACTCTGCTCACCATGTAAGATGCAGCATGAGTCAGTGGTTTACATTTAGCGTCTATCTCCTATGATCCACACAGCCTCAGGTCAAGATGCTGGGAAAACCCCGATTTGTTGCTAAATTATCCCCTAAAGCAGTGCTTCCCAATCTGGTCCTCGGGAGGAAATATGGACTGTCTGGCTGGGATCTCGGAGGGAGCAAAAACACGGACCGACTGTGGGTCGCCGAGGACCGGATTGCAAAACACTGACCTAATGAATCATGCAGAGACAGCGACGTAAACACAATTACTTGAAGACTGCCTCTTTCTTTTTCAACCCTGCAGAAGTCATACTTGCTCCATTTTTGCAGTAATAAACACTGACGGTATGCTCATGATGTATATTTCAGTTCCCGGGACAACCTTTAAAAAGTACACAAAATAAGTTAAACTGACAAGTCAGGAAAACCTAGATGCACTTGACTTCATTCTGACACGTGTCCAGTAGCCGAGCGGAAAACGGAAGAACAGTCAAAAGGCAGACATAGATGAAGAGCAAGGTTGTTGTTCTTGCCTGTACGGCCAAAGGTGGTCTTCATGATAATTTGCAGCCCTTTCAGTGGGCAGAATCAATAATTCATTCAGAATTTCTCTGCCAGATTCATCTCCATTGTCCCGCTTAACCAGTCCTATATTAATTAGTGTAATCCTAAACTTATCCCCGCTGTCAGCGCATACGGCACACCGCCCGCAGTGCCGGTCATATCCCCTTACCCGGAGGAGAGCTTTAGTTTCTGCTGAGAACCCTGGCTTTCGGGTAACCCTCAGAGGAAGTAAACGATTATCACGTTAACAAGTCTGCCTCTAATACCACTCCTATTTTCACAGAACTATTATCCAAATGAACCATCTACATTGAAAATATTAAAAATAATAATAATAATAACCGTGTCTCTTCACCCCCTCACTGTTATGGGCAGCTCACCTCCCCTGAATTGAAGCTGTTACTTCATGCCTTCAAATGCTTACATGTTGTCTTCAGGTTTTAGTGGTCTTACTCACTTAGAAATGAAACAGGACACATACATCGGAAATCAGGGCTCCGGAAAACAGTATTTACACCATGAGATTATTACTTCAACATTGTTGGTATTTCTTTCTGTCAATGAATATATCCTCTTTCCTTTCTTATATGTCAGGTTATACCAGCTCCATGGTATCATAATATCAGGAAAACAACTCGTATGTGGGAACTTAAACAGTTCATAGTAACACCATGTCTGATCAACCTACCTGCCACCTTTTATAGGACATTTGATTGGTGATGTCAATTGTTAATGAATAATCTTAGTAAAATCTAACTATAGCTGATATTGTTTTGTGTGTCTCTTTCAAAACTGGTATATGCTTAGGATTTTACATGTGCAGCTAACAGGGTTATCCATGGTAAATATTAGAATTCAAGCTCTGAAATACTTTTGAAAAATCAAAAGTTTGCTTTGAAAAAGTGTAAAGACACCCTTAGACCTGTAATCTGTGCTTAAATGGGTGCTACACTATCATGGGCCCTATGTCAATACAGACACCATGGTAAGACAGGCTCCATATTAACACAGGCCCTATACCAATATACACCCACAATAACATGGATCCCGTGTTAACACGAACCTCACGGTAACACAGGTTTCATGTTAACACAGGCCCCATGCTAATATGGACTCCATGCTGATATGACCCCCACGCTAATATGGACTCCATGCTAACATGGACCCACGCTAACGTGGACTCAGTGCTAACACAGGTGTTGTGCTAATATGGACTACACGCTAGCATGGGCTCCATGCTAACATGGGCCCCATGCTAATATGGACTCCATGCTAACATGGGCCCCATGCTAATATTGACTCCATGCTAACATGGGCCCCATGCTAATATAGACTCCATGCTAACATGGGCCCCACGCATAACAGTAAACTGATTTTTCAAGTAGTTTCAGTGTTGCTTCTCTGAAGAGAAATTCGAGCACTTAGCTTCCAGGGAATCCATTGAGGAGAAGCTTAATATGTGTAACTGCAGCAGTGAGGCCTACACTGCGTGTGTGTGTGTGTCTATTTGTCTGGTGGGGGGGGGGGGGGGGGGGGCTGCACTGTGTTAAAAACCTATACCGGACAACATGCTCATCAGATTAGTGTCTTCCCTGGTTCAGATTATAGTACATTGGACAGAGGCTGCGCTGTTCAGTTTGTTGCTGTTACAGAAGGTTCCCGCGACAAGAAACACAACACAAGTTAAGAGGCTTTGAGTACAGAACCCAGAGGACATGAGAATGAGCCAGGCCACTCCAAGGTGGGGGTGGTGGCTCGTCATGGATGGGAGGGGCTGGAAGCAGCCCCCTGCTCGTGTTGGGGGGCTTGAGGCCTTGAAGCCAGAGAGCAGGTAGAAGGCGAGGGCAGGATCACACGTGGGGTCTGACACCTGGAGGGGAGGGGAGGGGGGTTACAGGGATGTTAGCACTGCAGACATGTTCATGCTTTCACATCAGCGACTGACAGCAGTCAGCAGCACCTTTTACCGCCACTCAAACCACCCTGAGGGGCCCCCTGTTGACCACAAACAGTCACTAGACTGGGGGCCCCAAAGCAACTTTTTGAGAGTGGCCCCAAAAACTACAAACCCGCCCCAGAGACTTGACTGTTTATGCACATTTGCAGTTCACAGACGCCTTTTCTAATTAGCTACAGATTTATGAATCCGTCGAAGCTTCCAACGTAGCTGGTTTTGTCACTCGTGACCTTCACGGTAAAGATCCGTGCCCTTGGTGCTATGAAATGATGAATGATCGATGACATCTTCGACGACAGTTTACTGTTCACAATGTACAATTCTCACTTGCCCTTTTAAGGAACGCCAGACTCATTTGCTGTGGTCAGCGCTATGTGGCCTTTGGGTGCCCTTGCCAGCTTCGAATGTCTCACATGTGACCCGACGGCTTCACTCACCAGGACCGAGACTTTTTGACTCGCGTGGCGGCAGCCATCTCCCTGTAGGTGGCGTTGTCCAGCAGTAGGTCTCTGCTCAGCTGCAGCGCCAGGTCCTGCTCCAGGTGTTTCTTGGGGAAGTCCAGGTGGAACACGGCGGGTGGGGTCATGTCCAGCTCCAACAGCATGATGTTCTCAGCCTGGGGTAGGATGGTGAGGTGGGAGATTGGCACACAAGGCGCCTCGAGGTTTCCAAGCCCAAGCTGGGGGCTATGCAGGGACTCCCTGCATCTCTGTGCCTCATGAGGCTCCATCTTCCAATCACAATGCGCTAATTTACTATCCCCATTGGAATCAATGACGCAGTGACTCTTATCAGTTTGAAGTTCCCATATCAATTGCAGTGGTTCTCTGGCCATGTTAATGTCACACCCCCTTGGAATCAAAGGAGCATCTACCTACCAGGTACCTAGAGAATGAGGATGGCGACCTACCCGGTACCGGGAGAGACTCCCCATGGCGATCGCATTGCGGGCATACTGGCTGATTGGCCGCTTGTAGCCCACCGCTGAAGCTGGTCTCCTTTTCATCTGCATGAATTTACTGCAACAAGAAGAGGAGAAAAGGCCATTCACCTTCAACGTCCTTCTGAAGTTCATCCTGAGATACCACTTCCTAGTTCTGTCTCTTCCACGTTCATTCCTACCCTGTCCCTGCACAAACTGACCATCTTAATGTTTCAAAGCATGAACATAATGGCCTTTTAAAACGGGAACCACACAACAGCTTGGACAACATGCCGTAATCATTTTTGACAGCATCAGATTATGTGATTGTAAGCATTTTCTAATTACAGATTTAAATAACAGTCTAGGGGTGAAAGGGAAGGTCAACTTGCTAGAGCACACAAGACTGTGATCAGCTGAAGGAGTCCAAAATGGCGCAAACTGTTTTACGTCACAGCGTAACTGACCTCCTGCACCAAAAGGTGCTAAATCCCACAATTCAGGTAATAACGTGGCACCTAATTCTTCACATTCACCAAGGTCAGGCCAGACCACTCTGCACACACTGTAAAAAGATCACATCAGATACTGCATGTAGAGTTCCCCGCATGCCTAATCAGCTTAATACTGCATCAAACATCGCACATTTTCCATACAGGTTGCTTCAGACCCTGTAAACGTGGAAACTTCGGCGTGCATCGAACACTTTCCACAAGCAGTTGAACCATCCAGACCGAGATGAAGGGACAAATGCCAAGCCGACGGGCCTTGGGGGAGGGCGGCCTCTGCAACCCCCCCCCCCCCCCCACCCGCGACCTTGTCGGCGGTGACAGAGGCGCGGTGACATGTCTCATCTGCACGTCAGCGATGTGCCAAGGTGAACGGCGCTGAGATAACAGAGGAAACGCCCAGACATTCGAGCCAAGCAGCTCATACGCAATACAAAGGCTTCTTATTCCACTAAGTGTTGTTTATGACCGTCCTTAAGCAGACACTATAATAAGTAAATATTAACAAGATGGTGCCATATGGCCAACATCTCCCTATCGGCTCCCCACTCTTTATTGCCAAGAAGAAAAAAACCTACTATCATCTTGTGTGAGCCTGTTATAAAGTAATATATCCATCTAAGCTGTATAATAGCAGACAAATCACATTGTGTTCATGCTGTGTTTATTTTATGTGTTGCAGTCTCATGTTGCAGCCTCTTCATGCCGCAGAAGGGATTGAGAGGTGACCTGGGAGCCAGCGGCAGGACGTTTGGCGTCCACGTTTATGAAAGGGCCTCAATTCTCGCCAAGCGTTATTGTCAACATGGAGGAATGACTTGCAGATATGAGGGTGACTTTCAGAGACCCAACACAGCACAGTGATTGAAATCTGTACTTTTCAACATCTCCTTTCCTTCCTTTTTCTGCTGCTTACCTACCCCCCTTCCTCCTCAGATATGTCTCTCCTGGCAGGGACGCTTCCCCCTGCAGAACTCCTGACCTCACATGCAAAAGAAATGCTGACTCTCCATACAGATGCTCAGACACTTTGCACTCGCAGCCTGAGTTTGAGCAGCACTGTAGTGTCAAGAGGGCCGATCTTAAACATGCACGTTTAGAGCACCTGGAAATCTTGAAGATAGGCATAGACAGAGGCAAAATAAGCAGCTATTGTCTCCGGTTCTGCAGTGAAATTGCCTCTTTTGTTTATTGATAAAAATAAATGTCATTTTCATTCTGGATTCAGAGATCCAGCACTGGCATTAGAAACAGCTTTGTCTATCTGCTAATCAGATGACTTCATTCAGAATAACTTAGACCAGGATTGAGGTCTTCAGAGATGGGGCCGAATATCACTGTCCGATCTGGCTGTGGGCCCAGGCTGGGTAAGATCACTCACTTCTCAGCAGGAACGAGAGGCTGGAACCTCCATTGGTCCTCCTCATTATCAAAGACGAGCCTGTTCATTATCTTGTTCTTCTCTTCAGGTGGGATGAAGTTCTCAATGATCAGGTACCTGAAGCAGGCGACAGGGCATGGTCTGTACCTTTTGAAAAAGTACCTAGCGAGTTTAGTTAGTGAAGATTAGATTTGAAAGGCAATTATGAGAAGCAGAGGAGTCTTTGAAGCTTGCAGCGTGTTTGTGTCCAGTGGGTTTCATCGAGGTTTAGGTTGACCTACTGCTGCTGTTTTCCTGGGTTTTAGATTAACTAGAGAAACCACAGCAGTGTTTCCCAAACCAGTCCTCATGGACAGATCTGCATTTTTGTTTTATCCCAGTTCTCAGCACACCTGTAAGGTGGGTCAGGTGTTCTGGGAACTGGGATAAAACAAAAATGCGGATCTGTCCAGTGTGCCATGAGGACTGGTTTGGGAAACACTGAACTACAGAATGTTTCTCAGTCTATTAGTGTGGTCACACTAGTGCAAAAAAATATTTGTGTCTCTTTCACTTCCATTATAGCTGCAGAACGAGAAAATCAGATTCCTCACTTCCCATGGAATAGTGATTTCACAAAGTTCATCTTAATTGAACTTTGACCTGCAATTTCACATAGGTCAACCAATCGTGTGTGGTATGGGTGGGGCTGACCTTTCAGCTTCATTGGTTGTGGGCCGTGGAACGGCCAATTCTTTTTAACTGTCGACTGCCAGAATATAAATTTGTAAACAGGAGAAAACCTGCCTGAGTGGCAGTGAGCATTCAGAGAGTAGGAGGCATATTACGGTGCATTTTATAACATCGCTAGTTAGTATGCTTCACACTTAGCTCTCCGGGCTAGAAGGATAATATTACAAGATGGATTTATTCCACTGTACTAATAATTTCCTCAATACTGACTGTAATAAGCAGTTTAAATACGTATTTTAAAGGCAAAATATATGTGACTTAATCCTTATTAGCAATATTCCCTATTAACATCAATACACCAACACTGCTTCGAAACAAAACGTCACGTCCTGTTCCACACCCACTTTTGCTCCACGCTGCGAAGACGGCGCGATTTTTTTTGCGCTAGTGTGACCGCACCTTAATCTGAAAAACTTCAGTCAGAGAGCGGGTTTCGCGTGGAGGTGCCTCTGAAAGAGGGGGGGGGGGCTCACTTGAACTTGAGCTCCCTGGTGAGCTCATTCTGGGTCTGCTCCAGCTCCTGCCGGGCCTTCACGTGCTCGTCGTTGACGTCCATGATCTCCGCCTTCACGGCCTGCAGCTTCGCGAACAGCTGCGGATGCGAGGGAGAAACGGGATGAGGAGATAAGACTCTAAGTACTGGGCCTGGGCATGGAGCAGGAAGCAGGGAGCGGGGGAGGGGGGCTGAAGGAAGTGGGGGCTTCCATTCTGCAGGCAAAGCCTGGCCATCCAGGCAGCCGTCTCCTAGCAACCGCTCAGTCACCCACAGCAATACTCCGTCACCAAAGCTATTGCCTTGCCCCTCCCCACAGAGACACCATCCTGCAGGGAGCCACAGAACAAGCATCTAGCAGGTCCTTCCGATGTTTCCATCAGACTATACATGCGCCTTTGCAGTTAGCCTGCCTCCCTGCATGCTGCCAAGAGAAATTCCTTGACACACAACCACGGACAAGACGCAGGACCACGTCCAGTCCTTCCAGAAGATGTTAGTATCAGTGAATGGAAACACAAAGGCTGGTCTTCCAGTCGACTCCACAAAACCTAAGCATGGCACGTGATGGGTTTCCTGCAGCGGGACGGCTCACAGTTGAGGACTTCAAGACGACCTGACCATCATGATCCATGTATTTATGTAAATGTCATTCTAAAGGTCAATTGAAGCTCCCGGGCTATGTCAGGAACTGTGGATAAAGTTTAACACCACCAACATAAATATATATATAATCAACACGCCTCAAGGCTTAGTTTTACCCATATGCCGCATTTTAATCACCATACTTGAAGACCACTTCCACACTTGACATATAAGGCAAAGCGAGACCATGATCTTCTCAATGTCAAACAGAGGTTAGCTGGCTCTTTGTTAGAGTGCAGTCGGTGAGGGGGGGGTTTGCAAATGAGTGTTAGTGGGAGGGGAACATTGCAGACGTGGCCCTAGTGGCCAGGGGGGGGCAGCTTTCACCGGGCACCCCTGGAATGGCTATGGCGGCCAGATGGCCAGCTGCAGGCGATGCATTATGACGATGGCGAGTCACGGGGTGAAGACCAACCTTTTTATACTGATAAAGTGTGCATGTGTCCGGAGAGCAGCAGAGCGACAGGACGAGACTCATCCAGTTTACAGGGAGGGGGCAGAAGAGGGACAAGGCACAGAAGGCGTCCAATTAGACCGGGGGCTACAGTCACGCACTCATCTACTGATCCTAGGAGGTCGTCTCCGTCGTACAATGTCAATATGAGCTGAAACATGAACATTAGCAGAAACCCTAACAGGTTCAACGGGTCCAGTTTTTGACACACGAGTGTGAAGTAATGAAAAGAGGTCACACCTGTGTTCCAGTTACTGTCACATGTGTGTCTCACTACACCGCAGTGACAAAAAAACAAGCACCGGACTTCAGAGTCACCACTCATTTATTAAACCTTAAATTGCACCTTGTTCTCCTACATGTATGTTATTATATACTGAATATTGTATATTGCATGTTTATTGTGTGTATATTGTATATAATGTATATTTTTGTTCTGACTGTTTTGTCATTTGCTATTTTATTGTTCTTAATCCGCTATGGTAATTCTGCAGGGAGGTATGCAAGCAAGTATTTTATTATTTTATTGTACTTGTATAAATGATAGTAAGGCTTCTGAATCTTTGAATCCCAGACTCAACATTAGACACGGAGATGGCTCAGCGACATTGTAGCATGCACCAGGCGATGATGTCACTCCACAGACCTGCAGTTAGTGTTCAGATCATGTGCACAGGCGTGTAAAACCGGAACAGTGTTCAATCCCATTCTGGGTCTTACATATCGTTTGGCAAACACTTTCACATACACTGTCCTTATGCATCTGCTGGACTCCCTGTGCCTTGTGGAGCCTGTATCAAGGCTGTTGTACAGCATGGAAGAGAGATACACAGTCACACTCTATGGGCAACTTAGAGACACCAATTAGCCTAACTGCATGTATTTTAACTGTGGGAGGGAAGCAGAGTACCTGGAGGAAACCTGCATGACAAGCAGAGGACATACAAACACCTCACACACACAGAGCGGGATTTGAACCCCCAACCCTAGAGGTGAGAGCCATCATTCATCAACCTTAAGTCACATCTGCATTGTGTTCACTGTAGAGCACATTGTTAATAGCTGCTGACCTCCTTTGGTTACTAGCGGCCTGCGGGGCGATGGATCAGGAGATCTGAAGTATAGCTCACCTTCTTCAACTTCTTAGTCTTGAGCTCCACCTCCTGCTGTAGTGAGGAAAAGGTCTCTCTCAGCTCCACCGTCTCCTCATCCTGCAGCAACATCTGCTGCTGCATCTCTCGCTCGCAGCGCGTCTGCGGGCAGAAAGAGAAGCATGGCTCACTTTGTCACGAGACCCCCCCCCCCAACATGACACCCCCATCCTGTGACCCCCACCCCATGTTCGATCTCCAGCCAGTGTGAAGCCGCTCAAGAAAATCTGAGAGTCCATGAAACTAGTGTTTTTACAGAAATGATCAAACAGTGGGAATGGAAACTTTTTCTGTAGGTCGCCATTGCATTATGTGCAGAAACCCCAGGAAAACCATTCCTGATTGTCCTTCTGTTCCCGGGAAAAATTATGGAGGAAAAAATGCAGCAGAAGATATAAGCAGAGAGGTGGGCAGCAGGGATGCTGATTGTCACATTCACCACGAGATGGACCTTCAGGCACGCGGTTCTGATCTGATTTGCCATACATTTGTGCAGCGCGCTCACCACGGACAGGCTGAGCGGAGACAGCAACATTGGCCGATGCCCTTCATGAAGGTGTAAGGGTGTAACTAAATCCGATGTGGAGAGCCAGACAACCCACACAGCTAGAAAACCGATCGCTGAAACAGCATCCACCAAGGTTACTCCTCACACTCTACGGCCAGTTCATAATTTTTCTACAATTCCCATTCTCTTGTGATACATCTCTTTCCCTACAAGCACCTTTTTATGGTATAACACTGAGCATAGTCATGTGACCACATTGGTTTGCATTTTTATCTTGCAAGAAACTTCAAAGTGGCATCACTGCACTCTCCTTTCTTCTCTTACAGTAAGTAAATCCACAGATATATTACTCACATGGGCGGGGGGTAGTAATCAAAACAAAACTGCTTCCTTTTCATAAGGCATAGTTCAGACAGAACCATTCACTGAAAATGCAACATAGTCCCCAATAAAAAGTGACATTTATATTTGTACCAGAACTCCCGCACTTTGCAAACGAAGGCTTGTGTATCTTCCATCAGTGAAGATGGAGCCTCAAAACCTAAACTTAGACTAAAGATCCAGCCCTGATTTAAATGGTTTAGATGGGAGATTCCCTCGGGACCGAGACTGTCCAAGGAGTAGAAGATCAGAGCTGAGGAAGATGGGCCCCTGAGGATTGTGGGAAATCAGCATGCTGGCAGGATGACCAATCAGCTGCTCTGCTGACTGGTCAATAATAACACAGCTCTACCCATGATGCATTGCTGCAATCACAAATGACAGGGCTGTCTCATGTCACTTTAGTCCTTCTTACCTCACTATAAATGCTATTAATTGTATTTCTAACACAATATCTTTCTGCAGGTGCCTGTAAATGTGAGACCATGTGAGAGATGGTTTGGGAGCCTCTCTAAGGAGGGGTGGCTGTACCTGCTCAGCGATCTCCTGCCTCTTCAGCTCCAGCATCTTCTGCTGCTCGTTGGTGTGGTCCATGATGGTTTTCCCTCCAACCAGGAGCTTGCTTTCCATGGCCTGTTGATGAGGGGGGAATGCAGATGGTCAGCAGCTGGACACATGAGGAACACGTGACGTTTGAGCACAGCGGCTCAGAATTCAGCAGAAAGTTCCCAACAGAAGCGTGACTGACTGGCAAGTCTAGGCTAATTTAGGCTTGGGCGACATCTATTGTTTCATACACTGATATCGTGCAGACATTGTACGTCGTGGCATAAGAAATTTGTAATGTATTCATATATTTTGAAACTTTGGAGTAAAATCTGCCAAGTGGAGAGGGGGGGGGGCAGTTAAATTCACAGGCCAGCCAAGAATTCAAAATGCCACAGCATACCCTGAATGCCATAATATACCGTATTGCTATGACTAATAAAATCCCTGGAATAAAAAGCAGAGAGTTATCATTTTAGAAGCAGTTAATTGTGTTCTGTGAAGTCATTGGGTCCCGCTCAATCAGACGGCACCAATACCTACTTTATGACAGTGTAGCCTTATTACAAACATAAAGTAAAATGAACATGTATGTCATTTAGCAGAATATACTACCTATCACTTGCAATTCAGTTCACAGTCTCTTGCTTAAAAGTACACAAATAGTTCTGGGAGACACTCTGAACACTCAATGCTTGAACTTAGGCATCTGACCTCCCTCATTTATGTCAGAGTTAAAGATCCAGCGTGAATCTCAATACCAAGAACGCAGAGATCATACTTCAGGTCTTGGCAGGACCGGTCTTGCGACCTTGCCTTCCAAGAACAAACTTGTGGCCAATGAATTATGGGGCTGGTCTAGTTCGGCGAGGATGCAGCCGCTGTATTCTTGATATTTTGGGCGGATTTGGGGATTTTACTGTCCGCTGTACTTGTGTTCTTAGTACTGGAACTGGTCTTCAGCGATGGAAGATGACATGAAATGGGTACAGGAGAACACAAGTACGGTCAGGTACGCATGGTGACTTACACCTCTAAAGTGAACACGCCTGGATGTTAGCATTTAATTGCTGGCTTTAGCAGTTAGCGTTTGCTCGGGCCCTTAAAGTGCCCACAAGGGCTGAGACATGACTGGGCCCCTGAAAAATCTGAATGAGCCCCCACCACCGCAGAGCTAATCTGCTGTTACCTAGCTAATGCACATGTGACCCTCCCTAGCAACTGGGCCCCGAAGGGCCTCTCTTTTCCCTCCTCTCATGGGCCGCCCTGGCCGAGGGCCATTTGTAAGGGGTTAAATTTCGGGCATTGGCCAAAAAATACAAGCTACAGATGCGGACAGATTGTCTTTAAGGTATGAAGATGAGGAGACACCTCATTCTCTCTGCTGCAGTAAACAGTGACTGGAATGTAGATACTGTCACAGACATTTCTATTATTTATGCGTTCTTGTAAATCACACAGTAAGTCATTCTGTCAAAACTGAGATTCAAATTCCTGAATTCTGGTTTCTGGGTGGGGGGGGGGGGGGGGGGGGGGGGGGGCGGTGAATCAACCTAAAGCGGCAGGGAAAGGTCACGCCTCGCCTAGGGGTCTCTGGCCTCCATTCGGGAATTAGGCAGCAGGGGTAAATGACGCAATCAGTCTTTCAGTGGAATTATACACGGGGGGGCTGTCACACTCTGTATTCACATATACTGGGAGGGTGAGGCTATGACCAACCCCCAGAAATTAACCCTATTCCTCCTTAAAACAGCCCTCCCAGAACCAGGGAATAAAGACAGCGAGGAGCAACCAGCGCCCCCCCCCCCCTCCACCCTCTTCCTCGTAGACAGCAGATGGTCAGTACATGGCAGAACACCTCTGTGGGTATTGGGATTTGATGGTCTGCAGATTCTGCGCTTTAGGAGTAAAACACTCTCTGCACCACGGCAGAGGTAGGAACGCCCACTGAATGAGGGCACACTTCATTTAGGGCATTTTTCCCCTGATTTCGGGGGGGTGGTATCAACAAATAAACGTGATTACTCCACATTCTGTACTGAGGATCGCTGCCTTAAAACAGATACACATACTGTCATTTGATCTACCACTTAAAGCATAAAATATAGTAAAATAAAATAAAAAGCTTTTTCTGCTGGGTTGCGTATTCCTCTGACTAACATGCTCAGCTCCCACACATATATCATCCTGTACCTGATCCTGAACACCCCCCTGCCCCCCACTGCCACCACTGTGGCCATGTTAGGTCAATAAAAACACATAAACCACTGGAAAGACACAAGAGCCCAGAACTGGATGTAAATCCTCCCCTCAGCTCTAACACTCCTGATTCCGTTCCCATAATCCCCTCTGCTTCACATGCTAATTTTCAGCTTGCCTGCCTGCAGCCTTCTGGAGCTCCATGTGGTGTATTTAGAACGATAACACACTCTGCTTTAGGTCTAACTGGTGGGTTTTCACAGCCTGCGGGCTGCAGAGCGACTGCTGCACTGGCGATCTCGCCTGCTTCTGCAGTCTGCCCCGATTTGGTCTCATAACAACCAGCACTCTGTCTGCTCTGCTCAGTGCTCGGGGTTGGGGCCATCTGATTGGTGCTTCCTTCTGCTGCAGCTCTGCTCATTGGCTGTGCGGGGGAACTGGCTAAAAATATAACCCAATGTAAAAACACCTGCAGAGACAATTAGGTCTTCAATTCCTTCTGATACAGGACACAAGCTTCACTGCTGGAGCCCATTCAAACTGTGTGACACCGGCTGTACTCTACCCTGGATGTAACACATAATATAAGAACAAAAACTGAATTGAATAAATAGGCTAATTTGCCATCTTTATATCTAATAAGAACAACGACCCTTTATACTGTAATTACGCAAATGCATCATGTAATAGCCTGTATAAAAATAGCCTAGGTACAGCTAACCAATAGACACTTGCTAAAAACCAGTATTACTGCACCTGCTTTATTTGCAACTACAGTCATTTATGGCATTGTGGTTTAAGGCAATTTTAGCAATAAATCTACTAGTGTTTACTGCGTAAAAAACCGGCAAGGAGACAATAGACCCGAATGCCTCAAACTGTCATAGGACGGAGGGCGGTCGCCGAATCCACTACAACGTCAGTACCTTCAACTGTCAGGCTACAGTGCATTGTGGGAAGGGTGTGATTCACTGACACACAAGGCACAGTGCTGTAACGTGAATCCCATTGTTCCCTTCCCACAGAAATGCAGATCCCCGAAAAAAAAACCAACATTGTAAAAAAGGATAAAAGCAGTTCTTTAAGATGGAAAAAAATTGATTTTATAACGTCAGGTGCTGACCATACAAGCATATCAAAATCAGCAAAATTAATGCCTGCGCATCACTTTGGAAGCAGCTTTACTGCATAGCACAGCTTCAGATCTGAAGCCCTTCATCATGGAGACATAAAGCACAGGGATGATACCAAGCCAACATTTAAAAATTTAACACTTAAACAAGACACCAGTGAAGTCAAAGAAGCACATGGAATATTCCAGAATACTTCAGACCGGAGCATCCACAGGTAATGGTAAATAAGATTTGGAAAATATCAGGATGACTCATCACTGTGAGTACAGATGCTGCTTTGGTGGACCTTAGGGACCAGCAGCTAGACTCTGAGTCAGCGATTTCAGCTTTTATTTTGACTTGACCTCAAACTGCCAAGCCTAAGAGCTGACTAGTGGAATCGCCCCTGTAGAAATGCTGGCACAAGGCGTACAACGCCATAAAGCATCCCCAGGAAAAAAAGCGGCAGCATAAGAGTTCCTAGGTGAATCTTATCCATCAATTCAAAGGTAGATGAGAAAAAGAGGCTTACTAATTATCCTGCACAACCTATCTGAGGGCCATGCCTTCTGACGGGGGGTGGGGGCATTTCCCCATAAAAATCACAGAAATCATGCTCGGTTATGTCAAACAAATTAGCAGCTACAATCATGCTCCTCCATGTCCCACCAAATGTATCGCTTTGAGTAATCTCACGCCACATCAGTCTGAGAAATAGGACTGAGTCACTGAGCTCAGAAGTGAGGCACTGCAGGAGCTGAAATGACTCAGGAACCGTGACTCACTTGACAGTGACATGTAACCTGAATATAAGGCAGGTTAATAGGTTTAGGCGTCAAAGCGAGGAGGCCAAAATGAATGTATCCCACGATGCTCTGATCCTGTGTTATTAATGACAAAATAAGAAGTTTTAAGGAGGAATGAGGGAGATATGAAGCAGCTCAAGGAAGACAAGTTCATAGAGAAATCCCAGCCTCTCCCACAGCACCCCCCAGCTCTGAAATAACCGTGACATGTGAGTTAAACAGGCAGACGGCACAGTACCAAGCATCAGAAACCTAACAATGTTGGCTTTGTGTGCCCCCCCCCCACCCCCCGTCATTTCAAGTCCATACAATGGGCTTTTTTTTCTGGCGTTAACATGACTAATTAACGTTGCCTCAGTGCCTTTCATTGGGGGTTAGTGACCTCTCCAAGACGGACGGCCTGTGGGTGGAGAACCCACACTGCAAGCATGGCTCCCTGTAACAGGGAGCTTCACAAGGTGGATGATGCTTATTGAATAGATATGAATATCAAAGCTGGTGTCAATATAGTGGAAACCTTACATTCCATTTATTTAGCAGACATTATTATCCAAAGCAACATACATTTTTGTTGAGAGAGAGCAGGACCAAGCAGGAACAACTGGCAGTTAAGGGCCTTGATTAAAGTGAAATCCAACGGTGAAATCATTCTAATAATCCTGGACAGATGAGAGCAAGTAACTCTCCTATGACAACAGCAAACTGTTACCTCTTCACAGGAACTTTACACATTTACAGAAAGTGCCAGCATCAAGAACTTTACTGTATACACTTGAATAAAAGCATGACCAAGATATCTCCACTGTGGTCTATGGGCTGGGTAATACCATCTTGTGGTTCTGGTGGTGATGTTACTAGTAGAGGGGTTTATTTCAAACAAACGGACAAATTGATTGCAATTTATTCCCCATGTTCCTGCCCTATACAGAAAGAAAAGGGGAATCTGCTTGTTCTGTTATGCAAAGAGATG